AAATTTTTTTTAACATTTATTTACTATTGAGAAACAGAGAGAGAGCATGAGTGGGGGAAGGGCAGAAAGAAGGGAAGACACAGAATCCAACCCAGGATCCAGGCCCCGAGCTGTCAGCACAGAGCCCGATGTGGGGCTGAGCCAAAGCCAGCCCCTGACCTGAGCCAAGTCAGATGCTTAACCGACTGAGCCACCCAGGCGCCCCCCCAGGGCAATCCTTTTAATGTGTAAGTTAGATCACCTCACTTCTTCGCTCAGACTCTTCCAGAGGCTTGGCATTTCAGAGAGTCCACGGTTTTACAGCGGCACACCAGGCCTTGTCCAACCTGGTCTCCTGTTACTTCTGTGACGTCATCTTCTTCTCCTTCCCCTTGGCTGTCTCCATTCCAGGCCCTGAGGCCTGTTCTTGTTCCTGGAACAAGCCAGGCATGGCCCTGCCTTAGGACCTTTGAATTGGCAATTGCCTCTCCCTGCCTGGAATGCTCTGCCCCTAGACAGTCATATGACTAACTCTCCTGCCCCCTTAAAGCCTTGCTCAGTTGGCTTGAGGAGTTTTGCCCACCATATGAATTTAAATATGAGAGCTGGCTTGTGGTTAAAGAATTCTTAGGGTAAAATTTTTTTTTTCTTTCCACCCACTTGCAATGTTTACTTAACATGGGCAGTTTTCCTTGCTCCTCTGTGAAGAGTTTTATTTCATGAACTTATTTCTAGCCCACTCCTGTCCTGGAGATAGGGCCCAGCTTCGCAGAAAGTTCTCTGTCAGATTCCCCACCTTGCCGGCGCGAGGCTTTGTCTCCCCTTTCATGTGCCCAACAGGCCTTGAAAACCGAAGCCCAAGGTTGCTTGGCTTTGGCGTGTTTCCTCGGGGAGAAAGCCAGTGTCCACATCCTGTCCGGGTTCCTGCTTTCCCTTCTTTTTTGGCCTCTGACCCTTTTCGCCAGCTCACTTGGTGCCTTTAAAGGAGTGAAACATTTTACCCAGCAGTTTTAATGTTTCAGCAGGAAGTAGTTCAGTGTCTAGTCGGCTCTATTGCCAGAAACAGAAGTGCATTAAATGTCAGATGCAGGAAGGCAGCACATTATAGGAGAAAAGCCTGGGGTTCAGGAATCCTGGGTCCTGATCTCAGCCCCGCCTTCAACTAGCTATGATCTTAGACGAGTCACATGGACCCTGTGGGCCTCAGCTCCTTACTTAGAAAGGCTTGGAAAGGCCCTTTGCAAGGGCTGAGGGGTGGGTGGCCTCATAGATTCTGTGACTCCGTGTTACTGGGAGACTCTCTGTTTTGATGGAGCTCATGAGGGGGCCAGGGGGCAGAAGCTCCCAGTTCGGGTGGCCTTTCTGTGGTCTCTCAGTGGTCTGCCAGGCCCTGGGTCTGGTTTTGAAGAAGAGGTGTCAAATGTAGAATGTCGGTGGTAAGAAATATGAAATGAAGAGCAATTAATCCATTCTTCCTCAAAGATTGGGGAGGAAGATTTAGGAGGGCAGGGGAGAGACCAACTTAGAGTCAGGGCCACTGTTTCTGCGTAGGTGGGCAGGACGAGAATGACAAGAACATGGACGTGGTCGGTCTGTGGTTGAGGATCTGCCATTGTGCTGGTAACTTGCCCCCCTGCCCCCTGCTGCCCCCACACCCCAGGAATGTCCTGAAAACTGAGGCTTAGGGCCTGGCCCACATCCCCTCCCTGTCTCCCCCACTTCTGTTTTGACACCTTACATTCAATGTCAGGAAACTTCTTTCCCTCAATCCCTTAGTCCCTTTTATCCTTCCTTTACTATATGTGTGTATATATTTAAAAAAAATTGTGATTTTATATATAATTATATGGATTTACATAGATACACTTATTTATATGTAATTTTAGTTTTTAGAGTTTATTTTTAGATTTTATTTTTTTTTTAATTTCTTTTTTTTTTAATGTTTATTTTATTTTTGAGAGAGACAGAGAGTGCAAGCAGGAGAGGGCCAGAGAGAGAAGGAGACACAGAATCTGACACAGGCTCCAGGCTCCGACCTGTCAGCACAGAGCCCGACGTGGGGCTCGGATCCACAAACTGTGAGATCATGACCTGAGCTGAAGTCGGACACTTAAACGACTGAGCCACCCAGGCACCCCTATTTTTAGGTTTTCAGAAAAATTGAGAAGATAGTTCAGAGTTCCCATCTACCCCACACTTAGTTTCCTTCTTTACTAACGTATTACATGAATATACCTTCGTTATAATGAACGAAGCAGTGTTAACACATTATGATTAACTGAAGTCTACGGTTTATATAGATTTTCTGCAGTTTTGCCCAAAGTCTTTTTCTGTTCCAGGATCCCATCCAGGAAACCACATTACATTTACTTGTCAGGTCTTTTTAGGCTCTGCTTGGCTGCTGTTGTGGTGGTGTCTCATTTTTTATTCCGTTTATTTATTTATTTATTTTTTAAATTGCACGGGGCGCCTGGGTGGCGCAGTCGGTTAAGCGTCCGACTTCAGCCAGGTCACGATCTCGCGGTCTGTGAGTTCGAGCCCCGCGTCGGGCTCTGGGCTGATGGCTCGGAGCCTGGAGCCTGTTTCCGATTCTGTGTCTCCCTCTCTCTCTGCCCCTCCCCCGTTCATGCTCTGTCTCTCTCTGTCCCAAAAATAAATAAATGTTGAAAAAAAAAAAATTTAAATTGCAGCAAAGGACGCCTGGGTGGCTCAGTCGGTTAGGCGTCTGGCTCTTGGTTTCGGCTCAGGTCATGATCTCACGGTTCGTGGTTTGAGCCCTGCATCAGGCTCTGCGCTGACAGTGTGGAGCCTGCTCGTGATTCTCCGTCTCCCTCTCTCTCTCTGCCCTTCTCCGACATGTGCTGTCTCTGTCTCTCTCTCAAAATAAATAAACTTAAAAACATAAAATCGCAGCGAGACACAAAACATAAAATACAACCATATTTCATTGTATGGTTCAGCAGCATTATGTCCATTCACATTGTCATACAGCCTTCACCACTTTGCCATCATCCCAGAAAAACTCTGTACCCGTTAAACAACACCCTGTTCTCCCCTCCTCCCAGCCCTTGGTAACCTCTATTCTTTCTTTCTTTCTTTCTTTCTTTCTTTCTTTCTTTCTTTCTTTCTTTCTTTCTTTCTTTCTTCCTTCCTTCCTTCCTTCCTTCCTTCCTTCCTTCCTTCCTTCCTTCCTTTTTTAGTTTATTTTTATTTATTTATCT